ATTTATGTTAACGTTGGAACATTCTGTTATCTTCTGATCTCATTGACTCCCATAGATTGGGCATTGTCCGTAGAATAAAAGAAAAGTGAGCCAGAAAGGAAACGTCATCAACCCTTTTATTCTCGCCCCGGAATCCCAGAATTTCCTCGTGTAAAAGTATACAGTTTTATACTAGGACTGTGTGCCAAATACCTTCATGCTTATGAAGGTTACGTCAGACTATCCTTTATATGACACAAATTGGTAGTTTCAAAATAGGGTTAATCATTTTAATGAACATTGTACAAGTGTTCAAGTTATGATCTATTAGGCAATTGGCTTTTTTTTGGCTACTTTTTAGGCTAGTTTTCTTTTGTGCGGGGAGTGATTAATTTTAATTTTTTTGATTTAGTAAGAATTGTGGTTAAGTTACTACGTAACTGAAGAGTTTAGGGTTTACACGAATATTTGTTCTTAGAATTTTATTGGAGAACAAATAATGTACCTTATAAATAGATTAATTGACGTTCTGTCAAATGACATGAGAGGAATACTACTACTAATGAGGAACCACATTTAGTCCTATATGTGAAGAGTGTTCCTTTTCGAGGGAAGTAAGTATTTTGTTAACTGGCGAGTTTATAGGGTACATTGTTTTGACAATGTACCCCAATAAATTGGTAATTTGCATATGCGAAATGACAAGAAAAAAAAGGTGAAAAGCCATGTATTTTGATGCATGGTGCAATAGTTGGACTTGAAATTCAAGTTGTAATCTTTACATAATATGGTTTTCTGCATGAGGTGAGAACGCTCTGGATAAGTGATAAATTTCGTACAAGGATTAGACTTCAATTTCTATTTCAATTTTTTTAAGAGTTTTTTCTCTCGTAACAACGAACCGAATTTTCTCTTTAGATTTGGTTATTAAGCAGTACTAGCTACACTTATAAGTCATTCATTTTTCTGTGATATTTCTTGTTTTTCATGTAATTATATTCTTGACTTCTCAAAAGGATTTATCTCTTCTGCCACTAAGTCCCAACATGATCCTTGAAAACAAGATTTTCCCAGAGAACCTCGTCTGTTGGAAGTCAGCTTTTCCTTTCCATTTTGGTATTTCCAAAATAGATGGGATAGTTAGGATCTGGATGATGCTGTTCTTTTCTCTTACATATATCTTCACAGCATGAGAGATTCCAAGTTTGTTAAGTCCGTCAAATATGTGTCATATATCTCGAATCTCAACAGCACATTGTACTGCTACTGCTAAAGGATGGGGATGGAGAGATTAAACAGCTTTCCGCATTCTCATTGCGTCATCCTATGCAAAGGGTCTCTTTTTTTTTTTGGCAGAAGGGCCTTAATTCCCCAAACAATTCTATATATCCTTTGCGAAATATTCAAACATTTTCATCTATCTTTATAAATGGATATGATATAGAGACCAAAAGCTGTACTATCGAATTTGTTTTGAGGGGATAAAAGAAAAAAAAAAAGGTTAATGATTTGGTTGTACTTTCTTTGTAATGAAAAAATTTGAGAGAAATTATTGTGAGATTTCTATGCTTATATATGCTAAAAGTTGAGAGACCTTTTCACCACCTTTGTTTGGGCCTTGTCTGGAATTTTGCCTTAATACGTGGAAAAGCTTTTTTGGGGGCAAACTGATCTTCTATAGATGTTTTAATTTTTTTTTGGGTCTTAAATTGATAATTAAATCATAAGCGTCACATTATGTGCATTTTTATCCGAGTCCATTCATTAATTCCATCAACAGAAGGCCCCATATCAAATTAAATCACCCGTTTTTTGGCGATTCTCTCCATTTGCTTCACCTAAATACCCATCTCTGAACCCAAAAAGTGGCATAATGATTTGAAGTAAGTATATGCGTGAAGCAAAAGGTTGAAAATGCCTTGAAGCAGATAAACACATTATGTTTATGAACCTAAATTAATGGAGCTGAAGAATTAAATTGGACATGAGGCGCTAGATATGACATATATGATAGTTTGATGATGAACATGAGTCACCAAAAAAAAAAATTTCAATGACCAAAGTGACACTTATAAAAGTTGAATGATTTTATCCTAATAGGAAAAGGTAAGTCTTTTTCTTTTTCTTTTTTTTCCTTTTTTTGGACAAACCTTGTACACAGGGAGGGACGTCAGGCCTGTTTGGCACCCTAGTTTTTTACCAAGTTTTTTAGCTACTAGTTTTTTAACAACTTTTGCTACAGGAACCCCAAAAAACTTTTCAAAGTTTTTTACCTACACACTTCAAAAATCTATACACAAAAAATTTCTCAAAAACTTTTCTTCCTCCCTCACCCAACCCACCATACCAGACACCGCCTCCACCACCTCTACCGGTGCCGGTCACCTATTCCGGCGCCGCCGGTAACCTCAAAATTTTTTTTTGAATTTTTGAGTCCCTCACCCTCAAAAATTTAGTATATATATATTATATATTTATAATATTACATATTTATATATTTATTTAAACATATTATAAATATTTTATTTTATTTAAAATATATTTTTATATATTTATATAAATATTATATACCATATAAATTAATATTAATATAAATATGTAATTATATATTCATATAAATATTATATATTATATATTTAATATATATAATACATATTATATATATTACACATTTATGTATATATATATTTATGTATATTTATATACAATTATATTATGTATTATGTATAACATAATACATTTATACATAATATTAACACACAATATTAATTATACATTTATACATAATACTAATACATTTATACATTTATATTAATTATATTAATACATTTATACATAATATTATATATTTATATATTTATAATATATTAATTTATATATTTATATAATATTCATTTATAATAATATACAATTATTACATTTGTAAATATATTTATATTATGTATTATATATAATATAATACATTTGTATATTTTTATATAACTATATAAATATATTTATTTATAAATGTATTATAAATGCATAAATATATATAAATATTTAAACAATATTAATTATAAATTTTAAACAATAATAATTATACATTTTTACATAATATTAATACATTTATACATTTATATTAATTATATTAATACAGTTATACATAATCATCATATATATTTATAATTTATAATTTATACATTTATATAATATTCATTTATAATATATACATTTATATTAATTATACATTTGTACATTTATAAATATATGTATATTATGTATTATATATAATATAATACATTTTTATATTTTTATATAAATATATAAATATATTTATTTATAAATATTTATAAATGCATATAAATATTTAAACAATAAAAATTATAAATTATAAACAATATTAATTATACATTTATACATAATATTAATACATTAATACATTTATATTAATTATATTAATTATATTAATACATTTATACATAATCATCATATATATTTATAAATTATAATTTATACATTTATATAATATTCATTTATAATTTATACATTTATACATTTATAAATATATGTATATTACGTATTATATATAATATAATACATTTATATATTTTTATATAAATATATAAATATATTTATTTCTAAATATTTATAAATGTATTATAAATGCATAAATGTTTAAAAATGTTAAAATATAAAAATTATAAATTATGACATACTCAAAAATATGTTTTAAAAATACCTCTAAAAATAATCCAAAAAACATCTACAGTAAAATTTCAAAAACTTCTACAAAAAAGTTTTTCACCTTACAAAAATTTCTACAAAATTTTTTCAAAAACTTCTACAGTGTACTACAGTAAAGTTTTAGACAAACTCCCAAAAAACTCAGGTTCCAAACAGGCCCTTATTAAGTATCAACTAAAAAAGTAGGAAGACATAGCCTTACCTCTTACAAGTAGAAAGTAAATAAATGAGTACCACCACTCCTTTGCCAATTCTGAAAACCCAAACTATGGGGAAAAGGTAAGTCATAAGTGCATGGCACATCTATACGTTATAGTTTATTGTTATTTAAATAGAACAAGTTAAACTTAACCTACTTTAAGCCTGAAAAGGAAATAACAATTTGTTTTTGTTAATAAAAGGAAGTGAAAAGAAAATGGTGGTTCAAGTGGTTAAAAGCTACCAAAAGTTCCTAAGTGGTTTGTTAAATATCTAAATATGTATTATTCAAATTTGCAATGAACAAAAAAGTTGCAATGCAGGGGACTAATTAGTTTTGCTGCAAAATTGAAGGACTAAATTGGTGAAAATTTAAAACACAATGAGCTTAATTAGTTTTGCAGAATTTCAAGAAACAAAATTGGTCTACACCCAAACGATAAGGTACTAAATTGGTAATAATCTCATGCACCATTTTAGCAAAACTACAAAACACAGACGCAAACTATAGTGTAAGGGACTAATGGCTATGTAAATGTAAGAGCCTAAATCAGTTTTGTCACAAACTTGAGGACTAAATTCATATAATTTCATAATGAGAAGATGGTGTAAATTTACTTATATACTCGGTGTAAATTAACCTAATTCCTTTTTTCTCACACCCAATAATGTGATCATCTTTGTCTTTAGCATTTTTTTTTCCTTTTTTCCATTTTAATTTTCACTATATTTTTGAGGGACCCTGCTTTCATTTACAGTTAGTGGGATACCTTGGCCAGCGATACACTGGATCCGATCAGCCAATCTTCTGTTGCAATTGTTTCTCATGATCATATATTCCCCTTCTCCATGAAAGAAACAAAACAAGAAGGGCACTGGAATTTATTTTATTTATTTATTTATTTATATTTTTTTAGGGTGGTGTTTTGGTAGATGAGAAGCACCTATATAGGCTAGAAGTTACCACTCTTACTAGTGGTAGGAAATTGAACTATACATCTCAAATTACAAACAGTACACATAAGTTTCCCATACGGATCACATGAAGAAACCTGCATATAAGGCCCCAAGAAATTACTGGAACCTTCAAGGACATGAGATGAATGAACCAGCCACTTCCTTTCTACAACATAAGTTAACAAGCAGGTTACAAAACGTTACAGCCTATGTTGATTTCACTGATTATCTGCAAAATTTGCCTCCAAATTTATGATATTAAATCTCAAATATCAGAGAGTTGTATCTCTTCAAAGTTTGCCAACTGTCTCTGAAGCTGCAAACAAAGGTTTGACACGCCAGAGAGCAACTTGTGCATTTCGTCATGCGATATTGATGACTCTGATGTTGCAGATGTTCTAGGATCCTTTAGCAATTGTTGAAGTTGAGAAAACAGCATGAATGATTTAGGATCATTTTGGCACGACTTACCAATTAGCTGAAGCAATTTACAGCTCTGGTCCATAGGTGCTGATACTTGAGGTGGGACGGGGGGAACTAGAAAAGGGTGTTGAAGCAATTGAGGAATTCTCCATCTTTGATTCCGGTCCCAGGCAAGGCATTTTTTCATAATATCCAAAAGCCAAGGATTTTGAACTGGTTCATATGCAATTTCATGGTTTGGATCTGTTATAACTTTGAACTTTGCCCAAAATGTTTTGTATTCAGAAAAAGGTGTTCTTCCATAAACCATTTGGTAAAGGATACACCCAAGAGACCAGATATCAGATGGGCGACCACATTTAATGGTGTTCCCGTTTGCATCCGTCTCATTGCACATAAAGGCCTCTGGAGACATGTAACTAAGAGTACCAACCTGCAAAAGTACAATTACAGGGAGTATTAGAAAGTGCTAAATCGTTTGCTACCAAATGCACATGCATGGATTGACTCCAAAATAAGTTCTTGTACTTTCTACTGGGGGTTATAGATAATCTGTCCTTAGCATATTGATGTACTGCCAAATGTCTGTCGACAAGAAAGAGACATATCCAATTCAAAGAACATTCAGATTTCCACTCTGAAAAAATTTCAGTTTGTAAAAAGAAAAGGAGATGTAGTAACCTGCGAATCCCGTTGAATGTTGGTTGTGTCACTCATAATGGCTTTTGCTATGCCAAAATCAATCAATTTAAGAGAGCCACTAACGAGAAGAAAATTAGCTGGCTTCAAGTCTGAGTGCACAATTCGCTCCTCCTCATGTATAGTGTTGACAGCCAAAAGTATTTGCTGCAGCATATTTAAAATGGTTACATATTAAGAATTGCTGAATATTAAATATGGTTGCTTGACTAAAACTTCACATGCGTCGTTAAATCCACACTGCTCTTGCAGTACCTCATTCAATACAACACTTTCATTGAAAATAAGCAAAGAAATTCAGTAAGCTTCAATCAAACATACAAACTTGTTGCAATTTCAAAATATTAAAAGCTCAAAGAAATCCTACATATTCCAATTTCAAAACATCCCACATAATGCAAAATCTTGGGAAGTATAAGACCAGAAGCAGCAATGGTACATACAAAGTCACGACTTGCTATAAAATTTCTTCCCAAGCCATAAAATCAATTCCCTTGCACACAGTGCTTAAGTTACTTTAGGCAATGGCAGGGTATAGACTCAAATAAATTTCAGCGAGACTCAATAATCCACTGGATGAAATCTTGCCATCTGACCTATCAGAGATCCATGTTCTTTGTTGCTATAGATTTGAATAGGAAAAATTGCAGGATCTTATGCACTGAAGGGAAACATTCAAGATCTTGCGCACGGAACAAGATTATGTGGGACAAGTATGTTAAAGAATCCAAAAGCAACCAAGGGGTAGAGTGGAACACATGATGGAATAACAAGAAACTGCAACTTGTTAATCATATATTGCACATCTTTATCTAAGCTATAACTCAAACTCAAAATATGGGGAACTCTATCCTAGAATGACCTGATAGCAACTGAGTCAAGTCTAACAACCTTAAATGAACATAGTTTGTGTCAAGATTTAGAGGCTGGAATACAGTAGAAACTGAAGGTTGACCAGTTGTTGCTCGAAACTCTCTAAAATGGTCCAACCCCTTCTGTCCAGTTTTCTGGTTAAATTTACCCATTAACCTAGCATATCCAACAAACATGGAATTCTCACAGTGGCCAAATATGTTATTTCTAATTGAGATGAGTTTCTAATTTCAGACGGCATGTGCATAATCTAAATTGACCAAATCAAGTTGAAACATTTGCTCGTAGGGCTTAGTGTCTACAAAAGTAGCATTATTCTTCACGTTTCTTAAAAGAAACAGAAGCTTTGATAGAAGTATGATCAGGAGTACTTTTAATGCCAAATCAGTTTTTATATCAGGCAGGCAAGGTGCCATCTTTGATAGAACACTCCAAGGCAGGACTTTCTTGAAACCAGCTGCAGTCATCAACCAATGCAACCATACTTACTGATGCTGGGGAAGATAAAAAATAAAACATAAAAAACTTTGCTTAAAGTGTTAGGAGAAAGAAAGTAACACGGAAAAAACACTAAACAAAAGATGGTAAATTCAATTAGCAATTGAGTAAGGCTGGCAGCATAAAAGAAATTGGGATTCATTTGAGATAAACAAGAAGAAACAAATAAGTTGTAAGGTACTTGCTCAAGTAGACAGCAGAAAAAGAGATTTGAAACCTGCCAGTAAAATCGAAGCCAGTTCTCATCTATGGTTGAACTAGAGCTGTCCAGCTCTTTCCACTTCTGGGAAAGCATGTGAGCCAAATCAATTTCACCATATTCAAGAACCATATATATATAACCATCTTCCTTTACTCTGCCATCTTTGTTACTCATTGTACCACTAGTAACTTCTTTGAGTAATGCTTTATCTGTCACCTGAGAAGGAAAGAGATGTTAACAGGTTCTTGGAGTACAACTTGTGCAGAATACCACACCCTAGACAACTTGTAGTAAGATAAAGTTGTAACAAGCAACATCAAAACCTAAGTCAATCAGGGTAAAATGCCCAATATAATGGGTCTAAAATGATCATAATCATACAGCTACTGTGATAGTTAGAGGCATACAAGTCTTCCAGAAGCTGCATGCTATGCTTTTCAAGAGCATCAGGGATGATTCAAGAGATGAAACAAGCACTAAACTACAGGTGAAGTAGAGATATGCAAGTGTTCTTGACTCAGATAATATTCTCAGAGTAACTTGCGAGATCTTAAGAAGTTTGACCCTTAAAATAGTTTCAAATATAAGACAACTCAAAAACTCTTTACCTCCATTTCTTTGAATAATTTTTGAAGGGTAAGCTGGGGATGCAAGACATATAAGATGTGATAACGGAAGAGAGTAAACTTCCAAAAAGACAATGGCACACACTAGTAACAACCTTGGAGACAGGGAGTAAGTATAAATTTGCTAATCCTAATAGATGTTGGCATTTTGAACTGATTAATCAGAAACCACACAAGATTCACATTGTTCCCACACATGTTTCTGAAAACAGCAAATACATTTTTTTAGTTAACTTATATCTCCAATTTACATTTATCCCCAAAAAAAATGTTGCTACAGTAGGAGTTTTGTTGAGTAACAACACTTGACAAAGTAACGATCCAGATGAAGCAGTTTCAGCACAAGTAGTACTCTGCAAAGTGTAGGCCTAATCAATATTTTAAATCTGGAGTTTTGTTGGTCATGTAGTTTGTTTTCAACACAAATACACATTTTTCTCCATAGGAGAAATTGGAGGTCCAACATCTTCCCAAAGGTAATGAACAGCAACATAGCTCAAAATGCACTATGCAATACTTCTGCAGATAATTTTCTAAAACTAAAACTGAAAGTAAGGTTTGCTCTCCACAGCTTAAAATTAGATATTCCCTCCGTCCCATTGAAAGTGTCCTACTTTCCATTTTGAGATGTCCCAAAATATTCGTCCTGTTGAGAAAGTCAAAGCACCTTTTAGTCTCCCTTTCGAATATAGCCCCTCCCTCTAATCATATGCATGTTGCCATTCAAACTCAAATTTTGAATTTGAGGGGGTAAAATTGGAAAGAGAAGCACAAACATCACAATCAAACCACTATTCTTATAAAGTTCAATTCTTGAAATAGGACCAAATAATTAGGATGGAGGGAGAATTAAGCAGCTTATTTGAAATTGAAAGAGAAGTGAATTTAAAAAACTGAATAACATTCAAGCTTTTGAAGAAGTTAAAAGCTGTTTCCAAGAGCAACTTAAGAGACACGCCTTACGAGATGAGCTCTTACAATTTCAAATAAGCTGCTGCTCTAATAAGCATTCAAACAAAATTTGAAAAAAAAAAAGACCAGAGAGAGAACAGTGGTCATAGCCATGCTGAATTCAGAAATCGCACTTTGACCTAACATTGCCATGTAGTCCTTCCAAATAAAAAAGAATAGAAAAAAAGGAAAATTACAAAAAGGGAAAAACCTAATACTTCCATCCTCCCAACTCACATGCCTCAGCCCAACTGCAACTGCTCCTTGCCTCTCTCCACCTCACCTCTAAAGCCCTTCAACATTCTGGATCTCCCACCAAAAGACACCCTCCCCACTGTGCTGCAGAGCTAAGTGTGGCTGAAGATCAAACATATTTCAATGAAAGTCGAAAAGAAGAAAGAGGGAAAGAGGAAGAAAAAGAATGCTAGCAATGCCGGCCAGAAATGGTGATATCAAGTGCTGACAAGTGACGTCCCTAAATTCACTTGAGAAGTTTTGTGAATAGCAGGAATGGTGTTACAAATAAAATTAGTGAGAAGAGAGGGAACATTAGAATTTAGCAGGGCATATACAGGAGCCCACCACTACGTTTCCCAGTAGGGTATTCACTTGAGAAGTTTTGTGAATAGCAGGAATGGTGTTACAAATAAAATTAGTGAGAAGAGAAGGAACATTAGAATTTAGCAGGGTCAGTAAGGAACATTAGAACATTAGAATATGCCCACCACATGCTGCAAAAGTCAGTAGGGTTTATCAATATGCATTAGTTTTAAGACAACCCAACTATTTTATAATGGTCAAATTTGAAGTTAAGATTGATGAATATTTGGAACAAGCATAACTACAGGAGGGTAATTCATCATCGCTTATATAGAATATTAGCTTATCAAGATGGATAAAAGAATGAAAAAAAAAACTAAGATATAGTTCTTAGTAATTCTTTTACATTGACATAATTTCTATGAGTTCTGTCAATCACAAAAATTCCAAAAGTGAACGAGTTCAAGTCAAACATCAGGAAAAATGGGGCGGAGAGCCAGGGGGTGGAGAAACAGGTTTGAATCAGTCAATAGGATTTTCCTATTTCTAGGATCTTTGTAACTAATTTCCTACTCAGACTAATTGAACTAAAAACTGACCCTCAGTCCATACTTCCCCCTAATCGTAGTTTAAAAGACTGGTTACTACAACGATGTTAAAATCGGCATAAATAGAAAGCAAGAATAAAAAAGATTACAAGCTCCATAGCCTCACAATTCTACAACAACAATTCGTACTTGAACAATAAATTGGCTTTTCTTTTTTCCCTTAGATTTGTATCTATATAATATTCAAAGGTAATAAGCAGCTAGAATAATATTTTAGAAAAAAGAGTAGAGAGTTGTTAATCCTAAATGTTGGAATTAAAATCTTCCATTGGAGTGTCGCAAGGTTGCAGAATCCTAATCTATTTGGTATTATCATTATAATGCATCAATGCGGTTGATGGATTCCTAGGTGTATTTCTCATTTCATGATTCCTACATTCAGCTTTACTTCCTACGTTGGTAATGCATCAATGAAACGGAAATGGCATAATATGAAATGTAGAGATTACAGTTATTGATTCCAAATGATAGAATTACAATCTTCCATCGGAGTGTTGTTACGCCGGAGAATCTTATAAGAATTGGTATGATCATGTATCTATCAGTATGATAGAGTTCGCATTGTTTTTCTCATTTAGTCATTCCTACTTTCAGCTTTAGGCCCACTTTTGTAGATACATCAATTGAAATAAAATAAAAATCATCACAACTCCTATTCCATGAGAACCTTCAACTACATTTATCAGAGAGACAGATAAAGCTGACACACACTTGATCCAGTAATTGCTTAGCATATACCAATTTACAGCTATATGAAAAGCTCTGCCAAAAAAAGAGTATTCATTCCTCAGACAACTGATGTGCCATGATTCGAATGCACTTATGCTTGGAGAAGACCATTCTTCTTTTGTATTCCTAACAGGATGGTTCAAAACTAGAACTTCCATGGATGGATTAACATGAGATGAAAATTGAAAATATGCGTTCAAAATCCACAAAATATGGTGAATTATCGATACAAGTAACTTACCTCATAGTCAACAAGCTGAATGATGTTCTTCTTTCCCTTCAATTTGTTGAGATATTCAATTTCCTGACAAAATCCATATGCAGTACCATATTCACGACCTTTAAGCTTAATCTTTTTCAGGGCATAAATGGTGCAATCTGATGAAATGACCTTGTGAACTTCACTACTACCTCCACTACCTATCTTGCCAAGCCTTTGATAAAGCTTCCCATTAACTTTGAAAAACAAGTCCACATCATAGCTCTTTTTTCGTGACACTGATGTTGCTTTACCACCTCCAACTTTTTCTGGTTTTCCAGATTTGTCAGGTTCTAACTTCACATCTAATGCCTGAACTTTTGAGGAGGGGGGCTCAGGATGCACAGCTATATGATCCTCTGCAGCAGAGGTGCCACCAAGAGTTCGAGGATTTCGAGAATTATCACTCTCCTTTGGGACAATGCACTCTTTCTCGTTGGGCATAATACGGTTCTTAGCTTCCAGATTGGCTTCAGGAGTACCAATGGACACATGGGCTGCAGTAGCAGCCTGGTGACTTAACACTGTGCTATTACACTTAGATGGAGGATCCGAGGGCAGTAATTCAGGTTGTACAGGTTGAAATTTAATTTCTATGTCACCCGCTCTCTAAACCTAATTTAGACCTGCTTGTTTGATGAGTTTGAGAACAATAGGTAGTTGAATTAAGATTGGGAGCAGAACCAGGGTTGATCAGTGTTGTGGTAGCGCAGGACATCCCGACAACTGAAGATTGGGTCATTGGCTGACTTGTATCATTCTGTATGAAGTTTCCAAATTGATGAAGCTGATCAGTAACTCCTAAGTTTCTAGCCAGCGAAGAGGAAATCCGGCCTCAGGATCGACTTCTTCACTTTGAATAATCTGATGCTGCAATCGATGACTGAGGTATGGGAGCCTCTGTTTGGTTACTTCCATCCCATTCCATTTCTGTAAATGAAAGTGAATCCAAATGAGACAATAAATCTTCTAATCCAGTGGCCATTGAATCATCAGCCCCTGCAGAGAAAATTTGCAGTTGTGCTATGATTTGGAAACTGTTAATCTAGTATATCTTTCAACCAATCTGGTTAATTAAGCGGACACCAGACCTTTAGGACGCTACCAAACTACACAAGCAATTTACACTATCAAAGTTCATTGTACTGCACACAAAATAAGGGGGAAAGAAATCAAGCAACAACTATTACCCTGGAACCTGGAATCAGTTTGTGTGGCAAAATGGACCCTTTTTGTCCCGTCAACTAAAGGAACATGCTCACTTTCCATGACAGAGGCAACTGTATCATTAGTTTTGTGACCAGCATGGGATCTGGCTTGCTTAGATTTACCATCGAACTTTTTATAACTTTCATCATGAGTATTTACAGTAGAACCCCACTCTGAAGGTGCATTTATCGATGCACACTCTGGAGTTTCACTGACAACAGAAACCATATCTTTTGACCGTGATACGCAATCCCTTAATCTTTGACTTAATAAGCCTTCATCTTCGATCTTCTTTATGTCAAATGTAGATCCTGTAGTTATACTGGAACTTTTTGGAGCTCCGCGCTGCGGAACGAACATCCTCCTTGGTTGTATATTGTTTGAGGGCATCATACCTATGTGTTATGCAGAGAAAAAATTCAGAACGATCTCCAACATAAATCACTAAGTTAATAAGTTTTTCTCACTATATTATGAGAAAAGTCCAAAAAGAAGTTATAAGCAACAATCTAGCAAAAGTACCATCATACAAGTTTTAGAAGGAGACAACTAGGAAAAGCTCTCAAAGAGCAACAATTTGGGATTCTCAGAAGGCAAGAAATGAAATAAAAGAAGAAGAAAAAATTCAGCCAAAAAACTCTCTACAAAATGCAAAGGAATTGAGAGAAAAATTGAGCCAACTAAGAAAAGCTTTTCAGTATTACCAACTCTGACCAACAAGTAGTTAAAGAAATGGGGATTAAAACATAATGACTAACAACAAATCCTAGATCATTCAAATTTCTCCCTAACTTAATAACAAGCGGAGCATGCTTTCACTTTTTATCATTTCTCTCCTGACTTATCTTCTATCATATTTTCTTTTCTGTCCCTAACTTCATAACTAGGCCAAAGAACCGAAACCATTATGCCTTCAACAAGAAATGACCTACTTGGTGTGTAGTGAACAAAGAATTCTTTTTGAAGCTCAGCCAGAACATAATAATCCTAAGCTTCGTGAGTTCACTGAAAATAACAAATGAAAGTTCAACCAGCGCTCAGCTAATACAATTTAACATCCTTATAGTCAAGTTTATGTGCTTTTACACAATAATCAATTTGTTTGTATATTTCTTTTCTTTTTGGCTCCATTAACTGAAATTACTCATCACACTGTAATTTCAAAGAACTCGAATCAGCTAGGCAAAATCAGCTTATTCTGTTGCGGTTACACAAATATTAAAAAAAATGAAGAACAAATTAAGAAGACCTATTTAACAATTTATACCCAATTCCAAATATAACCAAATCGGCACCATAAATCGCAGCTTCACTTCCATTACAATCGCAAAAAAGAATAAATTAAGCAAAACCCTAGTTCCAAATTCGAGAAAGGGGGTGGGGGGGGGGGGGGGAGGGGAGAAGGAGCTCAAATTTTAAAAACTAAATCAGATTGAACAATCTAGAACAACAACATTACAAAATTGGAATCTTGAATCAAAACTCCAAATAGCAGACAAGACACGGCCGTAGCAGTGGGAAAGGCGTAGAAACGTGAAAAAAAACCACTTACTGAGAGGGCGGTGGCGCTTGAACACGGCTTGAACGTTCCGGAAGAAAGCGTCATTGGACAACGAAGAAGACGATGAGGAAGTCGACGTCGTTGAAGTGGAAGTGGAAGTGGAAGTGAATTCAAGATTTATAGAATTTCGGAGGAAATTGGAATTGGTTGACAACGGCGGAGGTGGTGGCACTGCTGGTGGTGGGGCCGCCTGAAGGTTAGCCTCCTCCCCTTCCATTGATGAATCCTTGGAGCATTTCTAATCTGTAATCTCTTCTACTCGGCTGCGAATCGATCAAGGAACGAGGCAGCTCGGAGGAGTGGATTGATGATTTTTCCGGGGTTTATTTGGGGGTTCTTTCCTTGGGGGAGTCGGGGAAGGAAGTGAGATTTCACAAGTTTAAAATGTTTCGTTGGCGCTTTCGACTCTTTGACTCGTGTCGCTAGTAAGGTTTGAAAAAAATATAATAATTGCATTTCCTTTCATTTTTTTCCAAAAGAAAAATAAAAAGTAAGCTTGAATTCTCTTCGTTTTCTTTTTTTTTTTTCAGTTACGTTCTATACTTCCTAGTAATTTTGTAGATCAAGTGGTGGTGGCTGTTAGGATGTATATTTATATAAAAATAAAAATATAAAATTTATAAATTATAATTTATACATATATATAATATTCATTTATACATTTATACATTTATAATAATATACATTTATACATTTATAAATATATTTATATTATGTATTACATATAATATAATACATTTACAATATATTTTTATATAAATATATAAATATATAAATATATTTATTTATAAATATTTATAAATGTATTATAAATGCATAAATGTATAAAATTATAAAATTATAAAAATTATAAATTATAAAAATACTAAAAAATATGTTTTAAAAATACCTCTAAAAATAATCCAAAAAAATCTACAGTAAAAGTTTTTCATATAGTTTTTGAAAAACAATCCCAAAAACAACTAATCCAAGCGAACTTGTATTTCAAAAACGAAATGCTACAGTGCTGTTTTTGAAAAACAACCCCAAAAACAGCTAATCCAAACGGAGCCAAATATGTTCTTAGGGTGTTTCTAGAAAATTAACAATACATTATTAGAAAATAATGATAGCGTTTCCATCTAGTGTTTTTTGGGGTGTTTTTAGAAAATATCCTAGTATCTAAATATGGATCCTTTTTTATTTTTGAAAAATCTTAATGCACTCTACTCTTTGTTAACCGCATTCCTACTATTTGTTTTAAATATGTATGGAATGGTGTGTTTTTGACGTGTGTGTTTTTGTTTTTGAAATCTCCACTAACACACTCCTAACACCACCCCCTTTCCCAAAAAACTCCAAAAACACTCCAAGATTTTTAAATACACCTAATAAAAAAAGGAAAAAGTCGTTCAAAATATCTCTCACATTTTGCAAAATAAATTTTTTCATCCTTCACTTTTAAAAGTGTAATTTTACATCCCTCACAAATTCACATTGGTCAAATTTGGTCCTTACCTAGATTTCCGACTAGTTTTTGACCAAAATCCATCATGTGCCTTACACATGATCATTTTTTAAGTACAAAATTATCAAATCAAAATTTATATAATCTGATCCAAAATCCCTTTTATGTCACAAAATAAATTTTTTCATCCCTCACATTTAACAAAATGAAGTTTTTCATCCCTAATTGATTATGTGTACGAATAATTTTTTTAAAACCCATGTATATATCTATTTTATTTCACCTGAACAGTATGAATAGCATATAATATATCTCAGTATGAATAGCATATAATATGTTACTATTTAATTTTGTCTAAATATATTGTTCAGGTAAAATCAAATAAATATATACATGGATTTAAAAAAAATGTTAGTTTTTCACTCATGTTCACTTTCTTTTACTCAAAAATTGAAAATAAAAAAGACATTTAATCCTAAACATTATCAAGTGTTTATATCGAATTAAATTTGGACAGACAAAATAAACAAAGGAAAAGTATGACAAAAAGAAATAAGTGATTGGCATTTTCAAGTTTTAAAACAATTACAAGGCAAGTAATTCAATTGTTAGTCTTAAAGGTGGCAAGTAGAAATTTCAGATTTAAACTGCAATTTATTAGAATGACTATAAAATTTGATTTAGAATTCATTAATTAGATGACCTTATTATACAACTCAATAAATGAGTTATTACCAAAAGAGAAAAGGCCACAAATATTGAATAGATTCACATAGTGAAATCAAATAGATATATATATATATATATATATATATATATATGAGTTTAAAAAAATTATTAGTTTTAAACCCATGCATAAATCTATTGAATAGCATGTGTAAACTATAATTAGGCTGTTTAGATGCAATCAAATAGATATATATATGAATTTAAAAACAAAAAACTATTCGTACACATGATCAATGAGGGATAAAAAAATTATTTTGTGAAATGTGAGAGATAAAAAAATTCATTTTGAAAAGTGTGAGGGACGAGACAATTCATTTTATGAAATATGAAGGACTATGGATCAAATTATATAAAATTTGATTTGATAATTTTGCCCCTAAAAAATAACCACATGCAAGGCACATGGTAGATTTCGACAAAAATAAATTGAAAATCTAGGTAGGGACCAAATTTGACTAATATGAATTTATAAGGGATGTAAAATTACACTTTAAAAAGATGAAAGAAAAAAGTCATTTTGCAAAATGTGATGGACGTTTTGAATGATTTTTCCTAAAAAAAAAAAACAAATCCTACCTCATTTTTCTTCTTTCACCTATCACCCACCACCACCACTCATCACCACTTGTCGCCACCTCTACCCACTACTATCACCACCGTCCCTCTCCTTCCTCGTTTTTTCTGCCTTCGTCCCTTCTCCGTTTACGCCTCATTCATCCTCTTCCTCTTCTCTCTTCCTTTTCTCTCCTCAATATTACTCTCTCATCCTTTCCCCCCTTACCCCCTTCCTGACTTCGAGAGGGGGCGTAGGGAAAGAAAGAAGAGGAGAGAGGAGGGGAAAAGGGAGGATGAGGAAGGAGGAAGAAGAAGAGGGAGAAGGAGAAAGAGGAAGAGAGAGGAAAGAGAATGAGGGTGGGGACTAGGGGTGCAAACGAGCCAAACTCGAGTCGAGCTTTGGCTAATCGAGCCGAACTCGAGTTAATTTTGTGAAGCTCGAACTCGAGCTCGAGCTCGACGAGATCAAAATATCAAACTCGAGCTTAAAAAAAAAATTTTATTTTTAAAAATAAATAAAATAATAATTTTTTAACAAATAATAAAATATTAGGGATATATATGTAATTTTACTATTAAAATAAAAAAAAATATATATATATATAATTGAGCTCGCGAGCCAACGAACTTAATGTTTTTGAGCTTGAACTCGAGTTCGAGATCGATTTAATTAGCTCGAACTCGACTTGAGCTCGATATTGACGAGCTCGAGTCGAGCTCGTATTCGAGCCGCTCGCATCGTGAAACACCCCTAGCGGGGGCAATGGTGGTAGTGATGGCAAAGGTAGTAGCGGATGGTGGTGGGCGGTGGGTGATGGTTGTGGTAAAGAGATTTAAAAAAATTTGTAAACATACCCTAATAAAATTTTTAATTTTAAAACCATTTCAATAAATAACTACAGTGACAAGTTTTTCACATACAACACTATAGTGAAATTTTTTTTAAAATAACTCCAAAAACACCTAATCCGTATGGAGCCATGAAACCATATGATAAAAATAATAGTGAGAATATAATTAACAAAAAGTGGAGTGCAATTAGTATTTTCCTTTTTTTGGCCATCAACTTAACTATAATGGTTAAACAATATCTATATATTAAAAAATTGCACATTTCCTCATATTATATCTCAATAGGATTTATCTTCAATTCCAACTCTAACCTACCATACTATAATTATAAAATTCCTAATCATCATTCCAATTGTGCTAATTATTTTGCCTTCCTTAGTATAATTACCTTGTGCAGCACAGCATCACGCTTAGCGTTCCCATCATTCATGAAGAAATTAAGAGCTAGTTGCCTTCAAAAACTTAAATTGTAAACTGCATATTCTAAGAAATATGATCAAATAATGATGTAATTTTGAAATTGTAGATCGTAATTTGATGAATATACATTTCACAAACTTGTCAATGTTTCTTAAAAGAACAATTATCATCCCAATCATGTGTAGTATGTAGTCCCATCTGGTCACATATGTTCTACATATTTAACCCAAGAATAACATTAAATTATCAACATAAATATAATACATGCCGAGAACCTGTTTAGCTCCAATTTTCGTCTTCTTTGTTCACGTGCTTTGCTCACGATTCTTACACAATTGTATGACGTCATTTTGCCTAGTTGGTGGTATAAAATTCAAAAAAAAAAAAAAAACAAAAAACACCGCTTTGCTGCTTCTTCCTCATTAGTTCTTGTATTGTTGTATTGAGATATTAATCTCTTCTTTAATGCTAGATAAAATTTTTTGGCTAGGAGATTGGTTGTTTTGTCTTGCTCCTTTGCTTTTCCAGTGAAGAACTAATGCATTTTCCTTCTAATAAATTCTTGACTCTTCCTCTCTTATGCGTTTAGACTCTCCTGATTCTTATTTTTCCTTTGTAGATAAGAATAGAAGCATAACATGTTATTTTCTTCTTTTTAGGCTACTTCTTCCTTTTAATATCTCTATTGTGTGTGGCTATCTTTAGATACTATGCTGCTGCATCTTTTATCCATTCATGGTTTTTTCCTTTTTTTATTTGGTTTTATTATGTCGTTAACTTCTCTTCTGTTTTGCTCCGTAGTCTAGCTTTTGAGAAGTTGGTTTGGATTTCTCAGATGATTTTTCCTCATTGGCAGGTTTACATTTGCTTCTCTTCTTCATTCATGGTCTCTTTTCTCCTTTTTTGTTTAGTTTTATGTTGTTAACTTTTCTCTATTCTGCTATGCAATCTTGCTCTTAGGAAGTTGGTTTGTTTTTCTCAAGTGATTCTTCCTCAGGTTTGTATTTGCTCTTGTTTTTCTTTTGTTGTTGTGTTAAGCTATTTGATGTTTTTCCTCAGTTGTTATGAGGCATGAGGACCAATTTAGCTCCAATGTTAGGTTTTGTTTGATAAAATTGAATCTTAATTCTAAAATCTAAATACTGAAAAAATTAATTTGCTGAATTTTAAATACTGAAAAGAAATATATAAATGTTTGAATCTTAATGTTGAACCTATAAGTATTTATAACTGAATGCTTAATGTAGACACCAAAAAAAAATTTATGTTATTTATTTTTATTCTTATTCTTTTTTCATTTTTCTATCTACTTGTTTATTTTTATTTTTATGTTATGTTATGTTATTTTATGTTTATTTCTTACTTTTTCTAAAGAAT